TAACCCTAAACCCTAAACCCTAAACCCGTAGCCATAGGCCGTAAACCTAAACCCGAAACCCTAAACCCTAAATATTAAACCCGTAGAGTTAGCACTCACCCTAAACCCTAAACCCTAAACTGCAACACTACACTCTGAATGCATCTCCTAGACGTTATGCCTTGTCTCATTGCAAACCCTAAACAATAGTAAACCCTAATAAACCCTAATAAACCCTAGTAAACCCTAATAAACCCTAGTGACCCCTAATAAACCCTAGTAAACCCTAATAAACCCTAATAAACCCTAACCAACCCCAATAAACCCTAACAAACCCCAACAAGCCTTCGCAAACCCTAACAACCCCCAGCAAGCCCTCGTAAACCCTTAAAAACCCTTTCTTACTGTCTACTCCGAGATAGACGAGAAGAGGTTCGCCATACAGTTGAAAAAAAACAGAAATACCCCAGCCGAAGGCACTCGCAAGACCTACACCCAATGCGCGGTGGCGAGGAGGAGATAGCTGCAACGCAAACCCTAAACCCTAAACCCTAAACCCTAAACCCTAAACCCTAAACCCTAAAGCCTAAAGCCTAAAGCCTAAAGCGTAGGAGGTGGGAGGAGAGTCAAGAACGCAACGTCACGGCGTATAACAGCATTTGACAGAATCTCTCAGGGATAGTAATAGGGTTTAGGGTTTAGGGTTTATACCTCGGCAGCAACAACGGTGGATATGCAGGCCCATGAAGCCCCCCAAAGAAATATCATCATCATCAGCAGCACGCCGCTGCAAGTGCTGGTTGCTGCATTAACAAACAGCTGCTCAGGTGTATAGGCAGCAGCAGCAGCAGCAGCATCAGCTGCAGCAGCAGAGGGTGCTGTGCACTGCAGCAGCAAACCCTCAGGAAGCACCTGCCTCCGTATGAACCCCAAAACCTGCAAACAACAAACCCTAAACCCTAAACCCTAAACCCTAAACCCTGATAAACCCTCCTTCAGCACTTCATGTGTCATTTTTCGCTCTGCTAAGCAGTGCCTCCACAGTCCAAGGGTTTAGGGCTTAGGGCATAGGGTTTAGGGTTTAGGGTTTACGGCGAGGCATATATGAGTAGCACAGATTAATCCAGAGCCCAGCAGCAGCAAAACGCGGCGACCCACGGAGTCCGCAAATAATAAACAAGTCAAGGCCCCCATCAGCTGCAACAAACCCTAAACCCTAAACCCTAAACCCTAAACCCTAAACCCTAAGTCATATGTCCTGAAGGGGAAAAGAAAGCGTGTGCGTGCGTGGTTGGGTGTGGTTTGAGAGGGTGGTGGTTTGCTTCCGCGAATAACCCCTAAAAACCCTAAACCCTAAACCCTAAACCCTAAACCCTAATAAACCCTAATAAACCCTTACCTTGGCGAGGCTGATAACAACGGCAGGGCCTCTATTGTCGCAAACCCCAAATATAAGAAGAACATCTGAGATTAAAACTACTAAGCTGTTTGCTGCTAATAGGCTGTGCATACACCCTATACCCCCAGCTAGCAGCAGCGACAGCAGCACGCTGCGGCGTTTGCTGCGCTGGAGTGCTTTTGCTGCTGCTGTTGCTGTTCGTGATGCTGCTGCTGCTGGTTTTGTTGCTGTTGTTGTTGTTGCTGCTGCTGCTGAGCTGTCCTCACTGCACACAGTTTGCAAGTCGGATATATCCGACTGCTGCTGCTGCTGCTGTTCCTCCTCCTCTTGCTGCTGCTGCTGCTGCTGGTGCACACTCTGCAGCAGCTGCTGCCTCTGCTGCTCAGTATACCCAAGCCGCATCATTGCTCGCTCTGCTGCTGCTGTCTTCCGCCGCAGCAGCAAATAACGTGGGCTCTCAGGCAGCAGCGGCAAACAACATAGCTGCAACGCAAACCCTAAACCCTAAACCCTAAACCCTAAATCCTAAACCCTAAATCCCTCCTACGCCTAATCCGCTGTCCACCCTAAGCCCTAAACCCTAAACCCTACGTAAGACTAGGGTTTAGTGCTTCGGGGATGTTTTGAGGGTTTAGAAATCGGGGTTTAGGGTTTAAGGTCTACCATTAAGGGTTTAGGGTTTAGGGTTTAGGGTTTATTACCATTAGAGTGATGAAGAAAGACGCAATGCCCACGAGCCCTCTCCAGCTCAAAGTAGGAAAGGCCCAGGCCACAAGATAAGGCAAGAAACAACCTGCACATACACCCCAAACCCTAAACCCTAAACCCTAAACCCTAAACCCTAAACCCTAAACCCTAACCCGTCGAGTTTAATATGTACTTTAGAGGTTACTTAAATGCCGAGCGTCTTAATAGCGCTTAATTTGCTGCTGCTTCCCAGACATCATAGCTTCCCCTGTTCTTTCCCCGCTAGGGTTTAGGGTTTAGGGTTTAGGGTTTAGGTACCTGTACACTGCAGCACCTCCTGCAGAGCTACAAAAGAACCACGGAGCTTAGCCGGCGCGATCTCAGCAGCAAAAGTAAAACAAACCACCAACCCCACCGCCATAAACACCCCTTGAA